AAGAAGCTGGGACTTCCCTGAAGGGGACCTGGAATTCTGCAGAACTGGTATGGGCATCTCTGATGACCTTCAGGCCTCACGGTGACACATTTTACCTTAAACAGACTTAGGACACCTGACACCAGACCTTTTTAGTTCACTTTTTGGGCTGCTTTCTTACCCACACAGAGCACAATAAAGAAAAAATATAAGTTTTTTTTGAACATGACCTCACCATGTCCCGGCTCGTGCTATTGCAGGCACTGCCTTATTTAACAACCCTCACATATTTTTCTTTCTTAAAAGTAGGTAGGTTTTTGACAGCAGGAGACCTAACACAAAATCTTCTACAACTTCACAGCTCTAAATCTTTCTCTTTCTGCTGAATTAAAACAGAAAAGGCAAAATCTCTTAGTCTCCTCATGCAAAATAACCACTCTGTTTTCCCAAGCATCCGAYCAGCTCATCTCCGTGCCTGTTCAGTTTGGCTTCCTGAATCCCCTTCTCCTCCTTCCCACGTTGCCCCCAAGCGAAGCCGCCTCGCAGGTGACACGAAGCTGCTTCTCAATTGCCCTTGCCAAGGACAAGGCTTTACCAAAAGCCACCAGCAACAAATGGTCACACTGCAACTCTGCATTCGAGTAACAAATGGTGCAACTCTGCATTTCACGGCCCCAATTTCACCCTCATTCTAGCTAGCCCGGTGCTCAGAGTCTCCCAGGTTCCTAAGAAATACTCTGCTCTTCCCTGGGATGGACCCCATCCACCGTGTCTCCCGTGAACGTGTTCCCTGAAGACCCATTCCCATCACGGCCCAGGAYAGCGCTAAGCCAGATTAGTCTCACACCCGACCCTTTAAAAAGCCACGACCGCCTCCCTGGAGCACGATGCCTTGCCCTTGYGCAGGGCCGCTGTGGGCTCCGCTGCAGGCAGCTCCTTTACTAATTAACGGGAGCACCAGAGGCGGCCCAACGCGCCGACCAAAGGTCCCGGTCGCCCAGCGCCGGCACCGGCCGGGCCCAACGGCAGCAGAGCAGCCGCCGCCGCACAGGTCGCCCCTCATTTCTCCTGCGTGGATTTGCCCAAGTGCTTCAGCCTTCTGCATCTGAAATACTTGGCCTTCATAAACCCCAGAGTTTAATGCCGGTTGGCTTGCTAACGAAACAACAAATTCAGTATTTGTCATTATTTCAGATGCTTAATGAATGAAATCCGGATTTTGTCCTTCTAAAGCTTTTAGAAGATGACCCTATAGGAAATGATTTAAGAGCGGAAGACCAGCTGAGATCAACAGAAGCAACTAGATCTGTTTATCTAGAAGCACGACCTATTTCTGGTGATATTATGGGATTTTTCCCCTCATATGTATGTGTACTTTTCTTTCAGAATTTGCTGCAATAGCCCACGTAGTATCGAGGTTTGTGCTAAAGAAGATGACTGGCCCGGGGATGGCCAAGCATTAAAAGCTGCTTAGATCAATCATACTCAGTACTGTTTCCTTCTCATGGCATCACGGTGATTTGCCAGGTCTGTCACGGGGCAGAACTAGATGCAGGATTTCCTGCCTGGAAAGCTTCTTCCAGGAGTCCAGTCTGGACACAGCCGCAAACCAGCAGGATGAGTCAATCCAGCTCCAACTTGCCAACAGTGAGAGATGCTCCTGAAGATGCTTCCCCACCATTTCTTTACTGTTGCCCCCATATTCCTCTCACCAGAATCAAACCCACTCCGGGATCTGCTCCGGTCCCGCCTGGGGGTCCATCCTACTCTCACCAAACAGCCACCTGCATTGCCATGAAGAGGAACCTTCCACTTCACGTGTTCTCCAACCTGCAGCCAAACTCCACATGTCAGCACCCTCTCCCTGCTCCTGTGTTTCCTGAGGTACCAGGAAACTCATCCTCTGAGGCCTTTGCTTATTCCTAAAAATGCTCCCAAGAGTCATCTGCCCAAATCTATACTGAGCTCTACTTGCACCTTTTCTTTCCTTCCCACTCCCTCCCATCTTGCTTAGGAAACAGGTTCCTTGTAGGTCTAATAATCGCGGATTCCAAACCAGTCCAGATCTCCCTCAGACGTGAGGCCCTAAGGTCACCAACCCAGGTGACTTCCTTATCCAGCTCCCTCACGTGATGGATTTTCCAACTTTGGAGCCAGAGAACCACCACTGGTTACAGCAATGACAACAGTTACCTCTTAGTGACCTCTACGGAAAACTTGGCTCAGCCATCGGGAACCATTTTAAGTTCCTGCTTCTACTTCTGGCAATGGAAAGTCCATTGAATACCAACATCTGGTCTAGCATGGGTCACCCTTCCATTATCTCACATGGAAGCAAGACGTCACCTTCACTTGGTTTTTGCAAGATGCTCACAAAAATCTGAAGCAGCATCATCTATTACTGGATGCCATTACTTAATTAAAAAATAATCCAGTGCTCTTATCTATGAATATCTAAGCCCTTATGATTAGCAGCAATTGTTCTGCAGATTTATCTAGTTATTTAAAGCGTCCCCTAACAATAAATATGGCCGGAAATGTCTTATCTTTTGAATAAAAAAGACCTTCCTCTTAGGCAAATTTAATGAGGGGGATGTTCAGTGAGTTTCTAACACCATCCTAACAGACCTTCTCGCAATAAAACATAACTTTGCTTAAATTAAAACGAACTGAGACCTCAAGTGCAGCAGCTAGTTTTTCTTCTCCTGCAGAGCAGAAGTCTCCCCAGACCCCCGGGGGCTCCCGACCCACTGGGCTGCTCTGAGGTCCATTTCTGCAGCTCATTTCATGCCACCGGGTGCAAGGCTTGGTTTTCTTCCCATTGACTCCTGACGACAGCACTAGCTGAACAGCGAGCTGTTTACCAGCATGCCGGGAGTCTGAAATGAAGCCTTAAAACTGAGGAGGGCAGAAGAGATTCAAAATCTTTAAAGGCCAATTAGTTTTCCAGCATATTATCACATGAGCCTTAAGAAAAAAAACACCATCAAAAGAACAGATGAGGCAGCACTTATCTGAAGATTATTACACCGAGACTCAGGTCAAATTTGCATCCCACTTCCACCAAACCCTTTTTTCTCTCTTCTCTTCCCCTCCCCGTTCTCTACTTGCACGCTTGCCAACAAAATGCAAGAGGTCCAAATTTACAGCAGTTTTATTACACCAACTTTTAAATGATGGCACATGCAGCCAGAAGCTTTGTACTTCTACCTTTATTCTCCAGACCAAGAAAAGATGCAACCAAGTCACCCGCCAACCAACACAAGCCCCAAATACCTCTATGGGAAGAGTTTGTCTCGGCCTCACCAGCAGCAGCTCSATTTTCCCTTCAGTTTTAACCAACCTAACTGGCCACAATGGAGAGGCCAGGATGGGGCTGAGCCCCCTTCCCACTGCRGCCACGGAGCTCCCGACCCAGCACCTCGGAACCACCATCCTCCCTGTAATCGCTGGAAAAACACCCAATCCAGCAAGTTTCCTGTCACCAACAGAGCATATAGTGTGTATCTGTGTGTGTATATACATATATGTGTATGTATAATATATGTATACAGTATATATGTGTGTAATGTGTACGTGTGTGTAAATACATATRTKWTAYAYAYAYATATRTRTRTRTWTTWTATATATATATAGGTATATACACACAGACACATAGATACATATATATTTTTTCCTGTCTCCCCCACTCTCTTGCTGGTATTAAGGAGGTTTACCAATAGATAAATAAATACCCAAAGACCTACGCAGCAGGACGAGCCTACAGCTTGCTAAATTTAAATAGTTTAAACTTAGTTTTAAGCATAAAACTGCTGCCAAGACCCTGCTTATTTGTCAACAACCCCCTGCGATGCTTTGGCAGGGCAGGGRCAGCTCCATCCCAGCCTTCTCCCAGCCGGATCCGGCCCTGCCGACTGCTSTGTCCTTACACAGACGTGGAGTCCRAGGCCGCCTGAGGCTTCAACCCCAGGGAACTTCCCTCCCAGGGGCTGTTTTCCTGGGCAGCAGGTTACCGTGGGGAAGGAGCCCGCGAGGAAGCGGTTAAAAACGCGCCGGCGCCGACGCGTTTCTCGTTTCTCGCTCCACTCCACTGCCTGCAAGCCGAGCTAGGAGCCGAGCACCGAGTATCAGCTGTAACATGATCCAAGAGTTTATGGAAAAAATAACTGCACATACCAAGCGCGCACGTTCAATAAGATTGCGTTTCCACTAAAATACTCTAGAAACACGGATTTTTTAAGATTTATTTCTCTCTCGGCGCGATCTTCGGTGTTTCTCCTCCCCCCTCTCCTAAATACACACCTCCTTTCCCAAAACCAAACCCCTTTTTTTTAAAAAAAAAGAAGAAAAAAAAAAAGAGAAGCAGCCCTACTGCAGGGAAGAGAGGCTTGAAAAACAACTTTGATTGGCACTTGGCCTGACCCACAGAGGAAGAAAAACAGTTTTTGGACAAAGAGCGCAAATATTTGAGCTCATTGACTTACAGGCTTTCTTAGCGCGTGCAAGAAGAAACCTGGTGAAAAACGGGCCGGGAGAGGCTGAATTAAATGCAGTAAGGATAATAAAAGGGCGCTGCAGGGTGCGAGGCGCTCGGCGCCGCTGCCCAGCTCAGCAGTTTTAATTCATTTGCACTGGACAAACAAAAAGCACCTCGGCCAGCGCGCCGGGCTGCGCAGGAGGCGAGCGGGGCTGCCCGCAGCCCGCCCGCCCTACACACACACACATATATATATATATATACACACAGCTATACGTACTGCTCGCAGTGATGACTGCGGAGCACAGGGCCCGGCGGGGACGGCTTCTCGGGACCCGCGGGCGGACAAACTTCCCGGCGCCCCTCGCCGCGGACGGGCCCTGGGTGCCCCGGGGGCACCGGCAGCACCAGCCCGCTGCCCCCCCGGCCCCGTGAGTGCCCCCAGCGCCATTCCCTGCCCGTGTCCCCAGCTCCTCTCCTCCCAGATCCCCGCCGCCGCTGTCGCTCCCCGCGGTCCCGTCACGCCCCCTCTCCGGGCCGGTACCTTTCTGGGCACCTTCCGGCAGTTGCCGCACACCCGGTACTGGCCGGCGGCGGAGGCGGCGCTGCCGCCGCCGATGGGAGCGGCGCTCAGCCTGTTCATGGTGCCCGGAGCGCGGCGCTCGCAGGGCCGGGCCGGGCCGGGCCGAGAGCGGCGGAGCAGCCGCGGTGGTGGTGGCGGGGGCGGGGGTGGCAGCCGCGGCGGCAGGAGGCGGCAGGAGGCTCCGCTCCGCTCCGCTCCGCTCCGCTCCGCTCAGCAGCGCGCGCCGCCGGCCGCCCCCATCCCGCGGCCGCTGCCCCGGCACCGCGCTCGGGGCCGCGTCCCCGCGCACACCCCCCCGCGCTCCGCCAATCGGCGCGCCGCGCCACGCCCCCCGCCGCACCGCCCGGCCAATGAACGGCGCCGCGGCGCGTCCACCAATCGCCGGCGCCCTCCGCGGCTCCCATCTCCGGGCAGCCTCGGAGCCAGGGGCGGGCGCGGGGGGCGGTGCCGGCCGCGTCTCTGGGCAGCCTTGGAGCTGGGGGCAGGGCCAGAGTCTGGGGGCGTGACTTCAACCGTCCAATGGAGTGGGWGACATGCAAATGAAGCGTAGGCCACGCCCACACGGCGGGCCGGCGGATGGGGGCGGGGGCCGCCCCGCGGAGCGGCCACTGGTGCGATGAAGTGCGGCGGCCTCAGCGCCGCGAGCGCCCGCGCGCCTGCGCACTGAGCCGCCCCCCACACACCCCGGGGCGGCCTCGCTGCTCCCTGCAGGAGACCCCAGCGTCTGACCTCGATAAAAGTGTGTGCACTAAGCGCGTTGGGAGCGTTATGTAACTCCTGTCTTCGGAGATCATGGTATAGCGGGACTGATTTTGTTACAGGAAAAGAATTTCACAGCCCTCTGAAACGTCTGAGACGCTTTAGGGTGTTGTGCACATTGTTTCAGAGGTGTCTCCTGCCAAAATGGCTGTAAATTGGCTGCCTGAGAGCTTAGATACTTTTATCTCTGGGAATACTCCCTGTTTTTGCAAAATATAAGCGTTGTGGACTCGTTATTTTGTCGTGGACTCGCGTTCATCAGCTTGCTGGCGAAAAGGGGCACAGTGCAAAAGATCATTTACATCTCCTAAATCAGGCTAAATGACCCCAGAGCTGCCTTCGGGAATTACTTAAGTTTCTCAAGTCTTTTGCACAAGAAGTAAACCTGCATCTTCTGCAGCCSCCTTTCCCATCCTTTCCCCTTCCCTCCACCTAGAAGGAGTCTCTACCTCAACCAGAGCCGCCCTTAGCAGTCGCACACACGGACTTCCCCATTGCCAATCTATTTACTGCAATGCAGCTAAATAGCAGAGGCACCGGCAGCCCCACACATTGCTATAGGAAATCTGTAGGGAATTGTTAGGGAAAAATACCTGTATTTTTTCCATGCGAGCACTACAGCAGCAAAGGGGTGGCAGCACGGGAAAACACGGGCTGCTGGAGCGCGCGGTGCCGCCGCCGGCTGCAGCTCCTGCCACAGCTCCCTCTCCATCCCCTCGACGGGATGTAACGCTAAAGCCTAAGGCAGCGGCACGAGTGCTCTACGTGATTCTTTACTTACTACTGAATTCGCTGATAACGTTATCTGCAAAGAGCAGCTTTAAAGCAAGCGCCTTAAAGCATCTGAGTTCCTATAGCCACGAGCAACAGCGAGTTGGTGCTCAGCTCTGGCGAAATTACCTTGAGTCACCTGTCAAACTGCCTGGTCCGAAACCCGTCTGCGCCGGCGAAGACAGAACCTGGCAAGCTTGGACACACAAGAGGTCAGAGGGTGATTTTGATTGAGTTACTGTTATTGTCTGCAYGGCAAATACTCAGATTTCAGTGACAGCTCATTCTCTCGTTGCCACAGATGGAAGTATGTATGGCTGGACATAGTCACATATGATTGAGTCCCATTCCTCTATACTGGAATTATYCCCGTCTCGAGCGGCAACTGCAGCCCTTTAGGTAAGGCCATTAAAACCTGGAAAATTTTCCATTAGCCAAGTGGGGCGGGCAGCCTGCCTTGCGAGGCACCTTAAATTTTGAGAAACTTGATCTCTAGTCCGTGTTCTGCCTTTGTGTACGAGGGGGTGGGACACGCATGCCCAGACGCTCTAAGTAGTTAGTTGACTAACTCTCACTTAAACCACTTAAGTGCCTTTGCAGCTTCCAATCTCGCCTTGCAGTGCTTCAACATCTGAGAAATGTCAGAAGCAGCGTAAAGTGTGAGAGCATTCCACTGTCTTGGGAAAAAACACAACAAACAGAAGCTGAGTAAGCTGCTTTCATGCATCCTACAGAAATTACTTCCCTTGCCTCTTCTGAGGTTTATTTTTTCCCCAAMGATATTCTTTCTTTAAGAGGTTTTCATTCCTAATGGACATCATAAATGTGCCTAACAGGGCAGAGGTGCAGGAATTATCCAGTATCCAGTGTAGGTAATTACTGCATAGACTCAACACAAAACATTTCAGAATCTGTGAAGTCTTTGGCTTGATTTGGTGCATTGAAATGAACTGTTCCTGCAACTATGATCCTTGTGGTACTGATCCTGTTAAACACKATGGATGTGCTCAGCCTCTGCCGTCTGCAGAGTCCCGCTGCCCGCAAGGGCAGCGCATGTGTGCTGGATTTGAAGCTCTTGGCTTGCTCCRTTTCATGTTAAACATATGCATAAGTTCTGCAGAATAAAAGCCTCTCTTTGTACAAGCTGGCTTCTTGCCGAGCACATCCATGTTCTTGAAAGTTCTCCTTGCAAACCTGTTTCTCCAAAGAAGAATGACAAAAATATTCATCGTTCCCTTCACAATTGTCTGGCAGCTTTTAGGATCCGACTGTACTTCCCTTCCCATCTCTGCTCTGGATTCCCTTCAGATTCAGCCCGGTCACTGATTCATGGAGAGAAGCAGAATCTTGCAATTAAAAGGTAATTTAGTTTTAAGCAACCTGGCATGGGTTGTTTGAATCTTCAAAATTTAGGATAGTTGGTCCTACAAACACAGGCAGTGCTATCCACTGAGATCCCTTCGAGAGGCAACTCGTTATTGCTACATGTTGTTGAAAGTGGGGCTGTTKTTTTCTTGATGATACCGACCATACCACTATGAGACCATCACACCATTCTCAGGCAGGTTACTGAGCCTCTGCGATAGAGCAGTGCAAGTGGTTGCTGCTTAAAACAGATTTTTATCATCTGTGATCATAACTTTTGCCAAGCTTCAAAAACAAGCTGCAAACCAAAACAAAGGGAAGAACAAATTTCCACGAGAATAGGGACTTTTCTGCCCTCTGAGGTAATCAGAAGCATTTTTGACAGATACACTTGCAGCCAAGCACAGATTGCTGCACTCACCACAGGAATAGCTGGATGAAAAGTAGATGGCATTTGCKAGAAGGTCAAAGCTCTAATGCCTTATTCACCCCTCAAGCAAACATCGTAGAAGCCTATTAGCACAGAGGCATTGCTCATCCAAACAACAAGCTGCTTTCTTTTCCCAGAATGAGGATTTATATCTTGGTTTACAAGTCTGATGGTAGCTTTGAACCCACGCTGCGGCCGGCACCGCGATGCTCTGCCTCGCAAGGCCTGGGTAGGAAGCCCAGAGCTGAGATCTCCGCTCCCAGCTCTGGTGCCTTGGCCAGTTTCTCCATCTTCCTACCACAGTAAAATGTTAYGAAGGTGGCAAGACTACACGGCTGGCACGTCACCTGCCTTGCAGTTCAGTAAAACCGTATCAAACAGGGACCCATAGGAAAATGGCTCTAGAAGGGTCCAGCGGAGAGCAACCCAGATGATTAAGGGAATGGAACATCTATCGTACAAGAAGAGACTGAGTGAGTTGGGCCTGTTTTCTCTGGAGAAGAGAAGGCTGAGAGGGGATATGATTAACGTATATAAGTACACAAGGAGAGAATGTCGGGAGGAAGGGACCAAGCTCTTCTCAGTGGTGGCCAGTGACAGGACAAGGGGCAATAGGTATAAGTTGAAGCACAGGCAGTTCCATCTCCATGTGAGGAAGAGCTTCTTTACTGTGAGGGTGACAGAACCCTGGAACAGGCTGCCCAGGGAGGTTGTGGAGTCTCCTTCTCTGGAGATCTTCCAAACCCGCCTGGCTGCCACCCTGTGCCCCGTGCYCTGGSTGTCCCTGCTGGAGCAGGGGGTTGGACTGGATGATCCCTAGAGGTCCCTTCCAACCTCAACCAGCYTGTGATTCTGTGAAAATACATACAATTTCTCCAGGCCAAACTGCATTTCCAGTAAGTCAAGTGAGAGACCTAMTTCCATTCTTGTAATTTTTGCTGCACTGTGTTAATGGTGTTTGTGCCRGATTCCTCTTACGTGGTTAGAGGAAGAAGGGGTAGATAGGAAAACTTGTGCCCTGAGCAGTGCTACACACGCTTTGACACCTCAAAATGACTTCCCATCCTTATGATTGCACATCCTAATTTGCAAAATGAGTGTTCAGATAATTACATGAGACAGTGAGATGCGGTAGTTTGTGGAGTCCTTCTTCAAAGGTGGGAGCGCACACCTTTCTCTATGGAGCATTTAAACCCTGATTAGATAGAAGTACTCACAATTACACTTATCTTAAGAAGAACTATATCCAGACCCAGGAGAGATGATGAGGCCCAGGCTGACCAAACAGGCCTTTTAATACCTATTTTTTCTGATAGTGACATATTTTAAAAAAAATCATGAAAACACTGCCCAACCAAGAAATCTTTTTTCCTCTCTCTTTTTAAGTTTTTCAGTGGTTTGCATGATAATTCACTAAATACATTTCGACATGTTGTTTACTTCAGCTCAGCCTTCTGAGACCACGTTGGCCAATGTTSTGAGGCTGCAAATAGGGATCATCTGGAAAAAATAGGTTATGCTTCAAGCTAACTCTGGAAGTATTTTGTCCTGTACAATTTTGGGAGGTGATACAGTGGGGAAATGCATTATTTTGGGGAAAAAAAAAAGTTAAAAAAGCAAAAATGTAGTGGTAGCTATACAAACTATACAATGGCAATCTCATACATTCTCCTATGTCACTGAAAAGGGATACAGGGATAATTAAAATTCCAATGAAGAATTTTAACAGTCTTGATATTTAGTATGTTTTAGGTTCACATCTCCATAGGGTGCATGAACCAGTCATAAGCAGGAGAGGACAGGAACACTAAGCAGTATTTTGCTCAAATGCCTGATTTATTTTTTTATGCATTTTTAATTAACATATTTTTAAATGCTAATTTGTTCTCCTTTTCTGGCCTGAGTGTTTATCTGAGCTGAACTGGAGGATTTCCTACTGAGCAGATTTAGCAAGTGCCGCAAGAGCTGACTGGGCCATAGGAAGGTCTGTCTCTTCTCTCATCACGATGCCACACTGAGAGTCCAAGGGATTACTGGAGAAAAGGGAGCTGTGAAGTCTCCAGCACGATTTGCTCCCAAGTCTGTAAACCCACCAACCACCAAACCTCCCAAACAGCAGCTCAAGGTGGAAGGGGGGAGGATCCTGGCTTCCCTGATAAGATCCTTCATGGATCTGGGCATCTGTGGGTCCCCCTGGCTTGCACGATGGTGGGGATGGGCTCAGCATTCCTCACCCTGTGCTGGATTTCCCATCCCGAATATGGTCTGCAGATAAGGGGCCTGGCTTCAGGTTGGCCATGATCAAGACTTGAATAGTATCGGCTGACACGTTGTGCATCGGGTGCTATTGATGGGTCTGCCCAAAGCTTCAACATGCCTTCCTGCAGCCTGCGCAGGAACGCGTGCAGGAGGCCCCTATAATGAAGTAAACCCTGCAGCAGTCGAAAGCTTTGCAGTAAGTAGAGTGTGGACAGAGCAGTACAGCTCCATGGGGTGGTCAGGCCCTGTGGAAGAACGGTTTCTTCAAAAGAAGGTAGGGGAACGGCAGTGCAGAACGCTGTGGTGCCTGTAAGCCAGGGCCCAAGTCTACTGGTGGATGTCACAGAATCATGGGATCATTATGGTTCAAAKGAAAAGACCTTTAAGATCATTGAGTCCAACCATAAACTATGTCCCCAAGCACCTCATCTACACGTTTCTTGAACAGTGCCAGGGATGGTGACTCCACCACTTCCCTGGGCAGCCTCTTCCAGTGCTTGACTACTCTTTTTGTGTAGAAATTCTTCCTAATGTCTAACCTGAACCTCCCCTGATGCAACTCGAGGCCATCTCCTCTTGTCCTGTTTTTGGAAGTTACTCTGGTGTAGAGCTCGGCCCCTGTCTCACTGCAGCCTCCTTTCAAGGAGCTGTAGAGAGTGACAAGGCCTCCCCCAGGCCTCCTCTTCTACAGACTAAATAACCATTATTACGAGGAGCTCCCTCAGCCGCTCCTCATAAGGCCTGTGTTCTTATCCCTGGAACACACAGTACATGCACTTGGCACAGACCATCACAGAATCACAGGATGGTTGAGGTTGGAAGGGACCTCTAGAGATCACCCAGTCCAACCTCCCCTGCTCCAGCAGGGACACCCAGRGCACGGGGCACAGGGTGGCAGCCAGGCGGGTTTGGAAGATCTCCAGAGAAGGAGACTCCACGGCCTCCCTGGGCAGCCTGTTCCAGGGCTCTGTCACCCTCACAGGAAAGAAGTTCTTCCTCACATGCAGACAGAGCTTTCTATGCAGCACATCACTGTAGCACTGGGAARGATGTGTCCAAAGGTTCATTCCTCCGAGATGCAGGTGTCCATTGGCTCCCATCTAAATCTCCCATCTCTGGAGAGTAATGTGACCAAGAGACTACAGGTTAGGTTGGATAAAAGCACCTTGAACTCTCCTTTTGCAGCCAGGGCCCTCTGAAGCCAGTAGCTGAAAAGCCAAGGAGTCAAAAGGAGGGCAGGCAAGCAGGGGCTGGCCCAGCTACCTGCTGCATAGAGAAGGGAACTGGAGTGAAGAATTTGCTGCCCGCAGCCTCCGACTGCTCTGGTTTAGCGCAGTGCTTGGGCCATTGGGAAGTGCAAAATGTCTTTGTCTTGCTGCAAAACAAACAAACAAAAAAAAAAAAAAAAAAACCAAAAAAAAACCCCAAATATTTCTCACAGAGGAAAACTTGTGTGTTCCCATTTTGCAAATGAAACACATGGTACGGCATGATGCCACATGAAGGACGGAGATGATCAGTGAAATTAGCTTCCTGTATTCACTGGCAGTGTTGGGACTTCCATTATTTTCACAACAAATACAAAACTCAGTAGCTTTGGGGATGTGGCACATAATTTAGGTCCATTTCCCAGTGAAGCCCCCGAGATATGAGCGTGAGTATGTTGGAAGATCATGCTGAATTATGACACAGTCTTTGTTTCTAGACAATRAAGTGCTGAAGTGCTGAAAGATTTGCATCTGTTACGGACTTGGCTTATTTTGATTAAAAGATGCTTTTACCCTGTTTCATTATTTTTCTGACATTTTCCTTTTCTGAAGAAGGACAGTGTTGAGGCRAGTGGGGTTTTCTCCAAAGGTGCCGCATGAAGGCAGTGAGCGGCGAGGTGCATGACTGAGGGCAGCCAGAACATGGTATATTCCCCTCAAAAATGGGCTCAGCACTGAAGGTGTGTGTTCACATGGGATGTTTTGTTTTGTTTTTTTGCATCAGGAATATTCACAGACAGGGRTATTCTCAGACAGGGAAGTCCCCAACTCTGCACTCAGCCTTCGGGTTCCCCTCCCAGGGAACTGAGCGGGCCTGCTCCGAAGCGGAGCCTGTCACACTGGCTGCTCCGTGTGGATCCCCAATCCAGATCCACAATCCAGGCGCTTTCCGTCTCCCACAGCCTGTGTGTGACACCACCAGCGCCGGTGCCTGTGCTGGGATATCCACAAATAAAGGGACCGGAACCGGCACAGCCATCTCACACCACAGAGCGAGGGAAAAGGAGCCGCAGCTTCAGTTCCTGCTGTGGATGAACATCAGCCAGCACCATCTCCTCTCCTGTCTCTCTAGCCTGCACGTCTGCCTGCTGCACCATGGCCACATTTTCCTGATCTATTGTAGCCAGTTTTTGCAGTAGACGTGAGCTCTGTTCACAGTGTAGGGAGAGTGGAAGCAGATCAGCCTGGAAGGAGAAAAAGGGAGGCCGAGAACCCACCGGGCTCCACTGCTGCTGCTCTCACGGCACCAGCTTTAGCAGGGGAGCCCGAGATGGGCGAGCAGCGAGACCAGGCTTCTGTTTAGGGCAATAAATGAGTAATAACAGGGGTCACTGCATCTCCTCTGCCCAGGTAAATCACCCGCAGCTCAGACCCATTTGCTGTCGCTACGGCAGCGCTGATACTGGGTGGATTCCTGAGAATGCTGGGCAGGAGAAGCAAGAAATGTCTGTTTTAAATGCAAAGCGATGCCCTTGTGCAATGCAGGAGCACGTCCTGAGCTRGAAAATATGAAAGGACGGTATTTCCACAGCAAGGTCATGTCTGAAGAATTTTATTTGTACTCACTTCTATTAAAGTGTTCCTTTACATGGAAAAATAGCTTCTTTTATGTTACACTGCATTTGAAATTTAACCTTCCTCTTACCAGGATCCATAAATCACTGGGAATCATGATTCTCCTATAAGCAGACTGTAGATCAGCTTTTATTTATTTATTTATTTATTTATTTATTTATTTATTTATTTATTTTATTATATGACTCCATCATTTCAGGAAGAGTATGGCTCAAACTCTGGCCTAGCTCCAATTCCTCAGCCCATTTCCTGCTCTCTCCCTTGCTGACCTGTGCTCGGAGCCCCTGCGCTGTAGCCGCTGGAGTCACGGACCGTTACCTACTGCACTGCTGAGGAGAATGCAGCGCTCTGCTTAAACGTCAGCTCGATCAAGTGAAGTAGGTAAAATACTGCTGATTGTAGCCTTGAGCATATTGCTTGTTCTGTTCAAAGATTATTCACTCTTGGTTTAACTTACTTTAAGCATGACAGGAAAAAAAAAATCTGCGAGTGACATAAAAGTCAATAAGGCCCAATGTTTATTAGAGGATTAATAAATGTGTCTTTCTGCTGATGCATGCTCAACCGTAAGGCCTGTATATAAATACCAAAGCCTATTGAGTTGCTGGAAGAGAGGGCTGGCAGCAATCGTGCCTGATGTCGTTCTGCAACAYGCAATGGGTGTTTACACGAGGCCTATTTGTTCTTGTGGGGAGCCAGAGAATGTGCTTCCTCCTGCTCCATTTACGCTCACACAAGGGAATTTCCCACCTTATGTCCCCGGCAGGATATTTAGACTCCCTCCAAGCAGAGCACAGCGAGGTGATGCCAGGCCATACACCAGGGATAACACTGGGCTGTGTTTGGCGGGGCACAGGGAGCCCTCCTGCCTCCAGCTGCTTCTCCAGCGACGTCAGAGCCCCTTCGGTTTGGGCCAGGCCCTGTCGCCGTCAGCGGCGCCTCCTGCTCGCGGCGACACGGGGCAGGCGAGCGGCGAGCGCAGCTCCTTCTGCAGCTGAAGGATGTGGTTTGTGAGCAGCGCCTGCAACGTGACTGAACCAGGGGTGTGAAGAAGCAAGAGGCTGGTTTGTCAGCGTGCTGAGTGGCTGCGAGAGGGCCAGGTAAGTTCGCGGGTTGAGCTGCAGCCRCCACGGGCAGCTGCTGTTAAAGCATCACCGCTGTGTGGCTGCGGTGGGAGAGGGGCACTAGTACATGAATCACCTCTGTGGGCACARGGAGCTTCAGCTGTCTGCCCAGGGCAGAGAAGCCAATGTTTGATCTAAAAAATACGAGATAAAATAGTTGGTTTCTGCTAGAGAAATCCCTGGAATGCCCCCTCTCGAGCAGGTTTTCCTCTGCCCACCAGGACAGCAGGAGTAACGCGTTATTCTGAAGGGAAAGGGCTGCTCGCCAGCTGCCACAAAGGCTCCCATCCTAGGGAGGTATCTTGGCAGCAACTGAATTCCCAGCCCCAGAAACATCATCACTTTCTAATCACCACTGACACCAGCCATGGCTTCTTCACTGAGCCCTTGTGCTGAGGCTCAATCTTAAATAAAATAAAGCCACCAGGGTTTTTGTTTCTGGGGCTCCCACAAACTTACCTTTGGCAAGAGATTTTTTTGTCAGAAACAGGATGTTCACCAGCACCCAACTTCATCATGAAACCAGGCCATGATGCATGATTCCATGAAATTGGAGCCTCCTTTCCCACACATGGAATTGTTTCGGGGGTCTTCATGGGCTTCATGTAGTAAGAGCCAACACGAGGCACTGCTGTGTTAGACCCCCCTCCTGCTTCCTAATACAGACTTGCAGACTTGTGCTTCCTGAAGACCTTGGAGATCCACTCAAAAAGGTGCATAATGGTAAAAAGAGAAGTCTGGARAAAAGCAGCTGCCTTTGGAGTTATCAAAGAACAGTGTCTACCACTTGGTTAGTGCAGAAAGTAAAACAGGAAAACTATGAAACTGAAGACACAAACAATGTCACTGCTGAGCTCTTGATAAAAACATCATAGGGAGAGCTCAACACACCACGCACACAGAATCTGCAGTTGAATCTGAAGTTATCTGACTTACTGATTGAAATTTATTTCACTGTTCTGCCCAAGAMAGGCAGTGTGATAGGTTTGGTGTGATCTCATACTCTGCTACCTGCCCCTTCCTGCAGTTCGTGCTGAAGTGACTGGCCAAGTGAGGATTTCCTAAGAGAAGTGAAAGGCCCGGTGGGACATTGGCCACCTCCTTGGGATGCCACTCGGTCAGYGCAGGGGAAAAGCCACCCTGGAGCTGCTGCCTCGCACCCTGCCGATGGACACCACGCTGGCAGCTGGAGGCCGGATCCGGGCAGCACCTCCTGGCGTGGGTGCCTGCACAGCGGCACTTGGGTTCCTCRCCCGGCTGCACCCGAGCACGTTCGGACCCCAACGTGGCCATGTCCTGACGGGGGCTTCCAGGGCAGGGTCACAGCTCAAGCCAAAGCTGGAGCTGCTCGGAGCACGAGCATGTCAGGCGCGTGGCGGGCCTGCATTTTGGATGTCCTGCTCTTGGACGTGCAGTGGAAGCCCTGGCACACTGTGCTCTCCATCCTTGTGGGCGTGTGCTCCAGGCACCACCCAAGGCAGCAGCAGATGCCTGGGACCTGCTGAAGAGCTATGAGACGGTGCTGGCTGAAGGCAGACACATGCTCATGGTGTAATGGAAACCAAAGGCGACACGTGTCCAGTGGAATATCCCCACAGCACTAAGGGACCTGCATAAGCTCTTGCACAGACGCACTGGAGATGGCACAGCCCTGGAAAGCTGTTTAGCGCTTCCTTGGCACTTCTCTTGCTCCTGTCCATGAAGCTCCACCAGAGACTTGAGCTTCAGACCAAACAGAGCCCTTTCTTTTAGATTAASAAGCAAATTAAAGCAGTAAATAAGCAGTAAGCAGAGCCTCCGGAGTGAGGCCAGGCGGTCCCTTCCRTCATAGGCAGTATTCAAATGACACCACAATCGAAACCGCGCTTCACAGCAAGCGAGATTACGGCAGTGCATTTGAATGAAATTTTAGTAAGAGCGAGACATTTTAAACAAGCTAAGTGCTGTCCGTGGCTCCCACAAGGCTCAGCAACACGGGCCCTGCTGGGAAGCTTCGCCATGGCCAGGGGCTACCGCGTTCGGGAACAAGCGTCCAGTGAGTAATTGCAGAGGTCAGGCAAGTGCAAGGGCTTTGGCTTCTGGCTGCTGAAATGGGGCTCTGAGACCGCAGATAAGGAACGGCGACACTGCAACGTCATCGCAGACAATCGCTAGCAGGAAGGCGAAACCAGCAGTTTGGGTGTCAGCGCAAAACGAAGCGGCTGGTTAAAGCGGCACACGAGCTCCAGGCACCTGGGAACAAAAGGGCATTTCATGAGGGGGACACCGTGGGAATAGCTGGGGGGGAGGAGGGCAGAAATCAAAGAGAGGGCAAAAAATAAGGTGGTCGGGTATCGGCGGACAGGGTGRCTCCAAAGGCTGCCAGTGCTCCCAGCCGAGATGAATGGCTCCTTTCTCCTTACGTAGATCTGCACTCAGGAAAACATGATGAGCGCGATCTAAGCGGAGACGCAGACGCTTGGGCGCCTGGGCCCGCTCCCGGCTCCCGCTCGGCCAGGCAGGGTCGGAGCGGGCGCCCAACGGCGCCTTGGCCGCCTGCGCTGATGGTGCAGGACCCCATGGCCCTTTCCCCACACGGCTGCGTGGGGGGAACCGGGAAGCACAACCGGGCAGCACAACCGGCTTCGGTGCCCGGCTGGAGCTGAGCAYGTGCCGGGGCGCCCAGGACGAACCGGGCGACCTGAGCAGGCGGGAGGGCAGGGACAAGCGCACGGCGTGGGTGCCCGCCCGGCCTCGCACGCGGCTGAGCGGGGCGAGTCGTGCCGGGGGCAGCGGCCCCGACCGCGGCGGAGGGGCCGCAGGTTGGGCTCCTCTTTGCACCTCCTCGATGGGTGCCGCTGTGAGGGCCCCGCGCTGAGGGCACGGGCGCCCCGGCTGCCCCGCGGCTCCCGCTGCCCTCTCCCGAGGCGGGAATCCCCACCGGGGCAGGGAGCCCGGGAAAGCCCAGCCTCCCTCCATGACGGGCCGTGCAGGAGGCCGAACGCGCCCCGCGCCCTTCRTCACTGCGGGAGGCGCCAGCGGCGCCATTTACAGCTTCCCCCCCCCCGCCATGGCGGCTTTTCCACCCAGCAACAGCGTGACGTCAGCGGGGGCGGCCGGGGGCCAATGGCGGCCGAGGCGGGCGGGGGAGGGGGCGCCCGCGCTGCCCCCGCGCCTGCGCGCTGCGCCCGGGCCGGGGGAGGGGGGCAGCGCCGGGGTATTATTGTTATTAATATTATTACTTTTAATAAAGGCACAACGGGCAGGCGCGTGTTGAGCAACTCCGAGCGGTGAAAACGGGGTTAATGCGGTGTTTGCTCGCGTGGTGCTCGTGCTGGGCTGCGCATGGCGCCCGTTCCAGGATGGCCCATCCACGCGTGGAGCATTGAGAACAGTGATGTGTGTGTCCCAGATATCGGTGCTTCGCTAACTCCCTTGGGAATGACCAGCGCCTGGGTGCCCCGAGCCACTCGGGTCGCTGCTGCCACCGTTTCTGAAGGGCCGCGGACAGCGAGGGACATGGGGGGGCTCGCAGGGACATGGGGGGGCTCGCAGGGACATGGCGGGGCTCGCACCGTACCCAGAGGGGACAGCTCGTCCCCTGCCCTGCTTGCTAGGTTGTCCATTGCATGAGAATGAGGCAGGGGAGAAAAAGCACAACCCACTTCAAAAACGAGTTGAGAAAGATAATAGGCTCAAGCTTTCTTAAAAAAATAATAATAAAAAAAACATTTTTCCGTTTGCTGAACTTGCCCTCATTTTGCCACCCTGTCAAAATGCCGCTGTGGTGAGAACCTCTGCCTGGTGCTGAGCTCAGCTCACCTGAGCTCAGTGTGGAGGGGGAGCCAGGGTCAGGACCAGAGATGTCCCGCCTGCCTCTGCGATGAGCCCCACAGCAGAGATGGGCCTTCCCTAAGGGTCATTCAGCCCTTTTGATGTCCGAAGCACCACGTGAAACTCATAAAAATGTTCCCTGACAACCCAGGCAGGAAGRGTCCGTAATTTAGGGGCTTGGTTTATATGAGTCCAAGCTTTAGGATCTATCTGTATTTCAGAGGTTACCTGTGTCTGGGGCTGAACCTTGGGCTCCYCAGCCAGGTTGGACATGGATCTTCCTAAGACTTGGTGCAGATCCGTTCTTTAGCTCCATAAATACAGATACTTGAGGCCGTTCAATCATTGTCAGCCACTCACCAGACACAGAACGGAGAATGCAGGACCTGCATGGTGGTGGAGAGTATTTTGGTGGCCACTTCATGCCTTGGTGGCCCTGCTTCAGCAACGAGGATACACAGGCTGGTAAAACAGAGATGATCAGTATAGGATTTAATAGATGGAGACTCCCACTGTGCTGGGGAGGAAGCTCAGACATGAACGACCACATACACATACACACTGAGGGGTAGAAACACATAGCACAAGAACCTGGGATGAGTAGCAGTAAGTCCAAAACCTTTGTGTATTTGAAGGAGGCTGTAAGTGAAACCCTCGATTAGCAGTTGCAGRTAGTCAGCCTACGCTCTGAGCCCAGCTCAGGAGGAAGCAAAGCCAGGACTCTGCATTTCGTAAGGGTTTTCCCCACACTGAAAACCATTTCCAGGCACTGAAATGAAGCCCCATGCAGCTTGCGTGGAAAACACAGCGCAGATTTCTTTCATAGGGTCTCAAGTCCAAGCATTTCTATCTTTTAA